AGCGTCTATGCTGACTACAGTGATTTCATCCGGCTTTTTCCTGCCTTTAATGGGGTAAGTACGATCCCAGCCACAATTCCCACCAGTGTTAAGATTTCATCTGCAAGGTGAAATTCACTCTGGGGCAAAGAACCAGCACTAAAACGAGATTCACAGATGTCCCACTCAGCTCAGGCATAGCATGGACACCAAGTGATACACAACAGGGATAAATGCTTCTCCCACCCCATAAACATTTACACGATATGAAAAAAATGTACCATTCTAAATTGGGATAATGTAATCAAAATCTTCAGAATGTTCAGGAGAAAAAAATTTAAGAAATGGGTGCAAAGTCAATCTAAACAATTCATATTGATAATTTTCCAGAAGTGTCATTTCAATTTGGAGTACGTTCACGCCCCCCCCCCCCCCCTCTTTTTTTTTCTAGAATCAGCTTAACTTTTAAAACAGAACGTTGCTTCCAACCACAAACCTAGATGTTTTCATTTTGGAAATATCCAAACAAAATGCTTCCATGATTTAGAAACGTTTCCAAAAATTGTTGAAAATTCCACAAAACTGACCAGTTACTGTGGAAAGTTTTGGTTTTGATGAATCAGCAATTAAAGAAAACATTTTGTTGAAAATTCTGACCCGTTCTCATGGTTTTGTTGATGCTGGTGAATATACCCTTTTGAATGTTCATTCACAGGTGGCAGAAGGACCACAGCTGATGAAATTATGTTTATTAGGGGAATAAAATTAATTCCAAATGTAGCCCTTTTCTGGTTCAGAATCCAACCAAATGTCATTCGAGTATGTTCATAACACATACGTGACAAACAACTGATATGAATAATTTCCAGCTATGTGTTATTCAGGAATTCTTCACATCAGTTGTTTGCTGTTTGTAAGTTATTGTGTGTGGACGGTCCCTAAAGTCACTTAGCTTTATTAGTGTTCCCTGATTGGATGAATGAAACTTTTCAGGCTAGATTCTAATGACTCAAGAAGTCTGCACTTTGAATGGGTGCATGAATGTTTGTGTTGAAATTAATGAAACTTGCAGCTGTTTCAATAACCAACACGCCACCAAACACTAATAAATAGTACGTACATCACGGTGAGTGGCGTTCATTGTTTTGAGAGACAAAAATACTGATAAATACATTTTAAAACTTTTCTGGCTCTCTGGGTGACTCGGAATTTATACAGTTCAACTCTGGATTCCTTTTCTTTTAGTATGAGGTGACGGATTTGTTAACTGCGACACACCTGGCAAAGCTGGTTGTCATTTCCAGCATCCTAACTGACAGCAGCAGGCTCAGTGCGAAGACTGATGCCACCAACGTGATGAACACCTTCCAGAGCAGAAATGTATCTGACCTGCAGACCTTCCTGTATGAAGTCAATTTGCTCGCAGCACAGGTAAGAGAGTTTCCTTTGGCCGTGGGTGCTACAAGCGATGGGCCTGATTCCGTAACCTTTGCTCACATCAGGCCTGATTATCTCATACACCCCAGCCTCTCTGCATTTCTGACAGTGAAGTGGCCCTAAACTGAGTGTTTATGCAAATCAGATCAATTGCATAGCAATGACTCATGCAACTAGTCCCACTGCTAGTCAGTATGCTTGAAGGTTGTGGATTCTGTCCCTAAAAGGGCATGTTTCATAGCCCCATGTGATGTGGCCTAGAACAGCAAGAGACATCTAAGTGACTGATACTCATTTCATTGGCCGTATCTTTATGCCATTACATATAAGGATCAGTTAATGGATTGCAGCGGGAAGCAGAAAACTACCATTTGACTAGCATGAGATGAGCTCAATAACAAATTGGAACTGGCTTCTAAGGCGTTGTCTACATTGGCATGTTTTGTCACCAAACCCTGGCTTTTGTTGATAAAACAGTGAGAGCGTTTATATGGCAATGTGACTTTTGTCAGGAAAAACACCGACTTCCAGCCCTGGGAGAGACTTTTGTCTTTTCCCCTCCCTTTGTCATCAACAAAGAGCCAATGTGAACTTTGCTGTTTGTTTTGTCCACAGAACTGGCTTCTGCCAGTATCCCACAATGCCTGCCCTGATGGCTCTGCTCAGTGTTCTGTGATCTCTGCTGCCCTGCAGCATGTGCCCCTCCCCTTTCAAAGCCCTGGGAAGTTTCTGATAGCTGAGGGAGCTGCTCCGTTTGGGGAACAAACAAAGAGCAAATCATTAGAAAGCTCCTGTTCTGCCCTGCTAGGAACCCAGCAACAGAAAGGCTGCTCCTACAGAGGGAGAGCTGGAGAGACGGTTGTGCTGTTTTGATATTCCTCAGAACAGAGAGCTTGCAGAGCTACAAGGAAATCCCAAGAAGCACAGGGATCAGCCATGCCTTCCCACAACACTGCCCTGTGGGATGTTTACCCACAATGCTTTGCTCTATCTGCCAACAGGGGAGCTGGCAATGTGGCCATGAAATGTCATCAATGGGAGGCAGAAAAAACAGTTTGACCAGTTTTCACTTTTGGTGACATTTGCCTGTTGACAGTGCTTTTGTCACCAAACCTTCCCAATGTAGACACAGCCCAAGAGTGAGGCTGTTTCTGATAGATCAGGAGAATCAGAGTCACTAGAAATCTTAGTCATGGAGTGACAAGCCCCAGTAGAAATGGTCCAGAGATACAGTCATGCAAAACTGCTAAGTGGAAGGATTCCATGATCTGTCCTAGCTCACTTCCTCCTCATGCAATTCTACGAGTTTGTGCTCTGAGTCCTTCTCTAATAGTTGCAACTGTGTGTGTAAAACTATGGGGCTGATTGATGCTGGTGTAATTGTGGGCAGTCTGAAACCAGGGCATGCACTTTTTAAATGCTTCAATATCTTTGATATAGGTGAGAGGATTATTCTAAGAGGGATGGTTGAGATTCTGTGGCCTGCACTGTGCAGGGGGTCAGACTAGATGATCATAATGGTCCCTTCTGACCTTAAAGTCTATGAATCTATGAATCTATGAAACCCGTCACCTATGCACACCTGCCACAGAATTCAGGAGCCATTTGGACAAAACGAGATTTACAAGTATCACTGCTGTTGCCTCCATGCCCAAGAGACAGCATGGCCAAAAGCAAGTGAAGCAGGTGTGTGCACGCTCACACTCAAGTATCTAAAAGGGTGTGATGAGGAGGAGGGAGAAAAATTGTTCTCCTTGATCTCTGAGAACAGGACAAGAAGCAAGGGGCTTAAATTGCAGCAAGGGAGGTTGAGGCTGGACATTAGGAAAAACTTCCTAACTGTCAGGGTGTTTAAACACTGGAATAAATTGCCCAGGGAAATTGTGGAATCTCCATCTCTGGAGATATTTAAGAGCAGGTTAGACAGACACCTGTTAGGGATGATCTAGATGATGCTTAGTCCTGCCGTGAAGGCAGGGGATTGGACTCGATGACCTCTTTAGGTCCCATCCAGTTCTATGATTCTATGAATTATTCCCGAGTATAAAGAGAAGCTGTTGTCTAAGAATCAGCCTCTGAATCTGCTGAATGCAGTATCATTTCCCAGGTTTACATTGGAAAAAAATCTATCCATATTTCAAAGCATTTTAAGACCAATTTTCTGCACTCCCATGAAAATGCAGATTTTTCATGGTTATAAATGAGTGAGATTTATATATAGAAGCACTGGAAGTTTTAGGCTATGACTACACAGCAACATTATTAAAACATAGTCCTGGTCTACACCGCCGGCAGTTATTTCTACACAATGTCAAAATACCGTCAAGCTGGAGGACTTCGTACTCTGACTCTTGTAACCCTCACTGCGCAAGGATTTCGAAATAAGTGCTCGATTTTGAAATAAGAGCTTTGTAGACAGCACCAAAACTCGAAATAAGCGATTTCAGAATAAGCTACACAGTTGACGTAGCTCAGTCTGCATAGCTTGTTTCGAGTTAAGCCCTGCTGTTCTGACGCGCCTTTAGAGTCTTCCAACACAATGTTGTAGAAACAGATGAACCAGGCAATTCTAAGAAACTGGAACACTAAAAGTGTGTGAAAAATCAAATTAATCAGCCAGACATGAGACATAGGGCCCGGTTCTGTTTCACAGAAATCAATAGCAAAATCTTCCATAGACTTCGGCGGGAACAACATCACACTGACGTAAAAGGTCTGGAAACAGTGCTGTACTTCCATTGCATTGACGTACGTGCCTCACTTTCATAGTCTCCAACCCATTTCTCCCTAGAAGAACATAGTGAACATAACCAACGTCAGTGTCCGGGAGGTGATGCTAGAGGGGATTTTCCAGATCCTGAAGCCACATTTTGCCTCCATGACAACAGCTGGTTTAGAATCCTGGTTCAATGGCACATTGACCTTGTATCTCGCCTCCATCACCCCGGAGGAGCTGAGGGCTCTCCCAGTTCGAGCGAACTGCACACAGCTACAGACAATGTGAGTCAGAGACCAACTCGCCGGCTTCTTTCATGGGAGACCACCAATGAGCGTGGGAGGGAAAGCTGGGAGATGGGGATGATTGTGTGATTGGGAGGAGAAGATGAGAGACGTGAGCTTGCCGGGCCAGTATATTAAAACGAGTCTGGCCCCACGTACTGGGTGGTTCCGTTAGCTCGAAAACCACCGCACATAATTGCAGCCAACTATGATCACCATTGGTTTCTCTTGCAGCGTTAAAGGCTTGGACGATGCCTTTGACCAGATGGCAATGGAAACAAAGACAAGTGTCACCCAGTGGATTGTCAGGTCCCTGCTACAAATAGGTCTGTCTCCCCCTCTTTCCTGGTTTGTTGAGACGAGTGATGCTCTTGAATATGTTGGCTCAAGAAGCCATAGGGAAGTCTCCCGAGAACGGTGGCATTTCAGTAGCTTCTTGGGAATGATGGAGGAATGGCAAATGGCTAGGACTTCAGTTTTATGGTTATTCAAGATCTCACGGCAACTTTCACAGGGATAGTGTCCTGGTGGGATGATCAGATAGCAAGTGTGAAAAATTGGGACTGGAGGAGGAGTAAGAGTTGCCTCTAGAAGACAAAGCCCTTCATATTGGGACTGTCCTGATAATATCGGGATGTCTCATCGCCCTACGTCCTGCAAATTCCAGTACAAGGAAACCAATTCTACATTCACCGCAGAGTTTCAACCAGATGTAAAATTCTTCACTTCATGTCCTACATGGACAAGCAAACTTTCAGTATGTTATTAAGCAATTACCATACCCCAGAAGCAGCTGCATTTCCTGCCGATGACATGATTTACACAGAGAGAGAACTTTGGGATCCTTTTGGGTGAAAACTCCTTTAGAGCATGTCTACACTACAGCATTATTTCAAAATATCTAATTTCAAAATAGTTAATTCGAAATAGCTTATTTCGAAATAACGCGTCTACACACAGAATGCATTTCGAAATAGCGTTTTTCTATTTTGAAATAGCATGTCCACATTGAGTGGACATTGAATCACAATTAAGGACAATTAAGACTGGTTGGAACCAGTTCCAGCAGGGCATCGGGTCAGAAGTTGCCTTTTGGCCAGGGCGGCCAGCAGGGCACCCTGGGAAGGGCTGAAGGCCTCCTATTTCGAAATAAGCATCTACACAGTGCTTATTTCGAAATAGGCACTATTCGTCATGGAATGAGGTTTACCAATTTTGAAATAAGCCCTCCGCTATTTCAAATTAATTTTGAAATAACGGAATGGCTGTGTAGACGCTAAGATACTTATTTCGAAATAACGGCTGTTATTTCGAAATAACTTTGCTGTGTAGACAAACCCTTAGAAATACAGTATGTTATATCATTATGATTGCACGTATTCCAGGAGTGTCTAACGACTCAGGCTCACATTTTATAAGACACTGTACAAACGAAACATAGAAGACAGTACAGAACTTGTCCTGGAGCGCTAACACACTGAAAGACGAAAAGTGTCACGGAATAGCCCTATAATTGTAAACATTTAAAATACAGCACCTTGGAGACGAACGAAAAATGTAGATGGGATCGTGAGCTTTCGTGGGCACAGCCCGCTTCTTCAGATGAATGGAGTTAAGGGGTCCAGGTTGCAAAATAAATAGCAGAGAAAGAGAGGGGATTGGGAGGAAAAGAGAAGGAAAAAATGGGGAAAAAATTGTCAATTAGAGTGCCCGTGCTAAATGAAGCTGATAGAATGGGTTCTGAGTACTTTAAAGAACCTGGTGCTTGGCTTTTTATGTCATTAGGATGTGGAATGTAGAGGGTAATCCAGTTAAGGTCTTTGTTAAAGCCTCTGTTGCAGGTACCAAACTTGTAAATGAAATTAAGTTCTGCAGCTTCCCTTTCAAGCTGGTCACATCACGGGCACAGTAGCTGTTCAGAGCGAGGGTGTGCACATTTCTAGCCCTATTCCTAACACTTGTTATTAGACCTGGCTGCCCCATATTGCCCCTTGCAGGAAAAGTGTAGCACCAGTTGTCCGAGTTTCTTTCCCCCCGAGGTGGGTGTCCCTGGCTCGTCATGCATCGTTCTGAGCTGGAGGATGGCTTAGCCCTCGGGTCAAGTGATAAACACATGTAATCCCATATTGGGAGCATGCACACAACAAGCTAGTGCCTGGTAGATCCAGACCCCTTGCTCAACATGAGCTAAATCTGTGAGTAAGCAAGCCCTTACATGCAAATGGTTTTATTTTTTACTCTTGATTGATAGGTGCTTTAGAATGCAAGGCCACTGAAAACTGGATGACCCTTAGTTTCCGAAGATTCAAGACCATAGCTAACCTGACCGACTTCTTTGCTCTCGACAGCAATTTTACCGGGGTGAGAATGTTGGTTTGGACTTCTAGGATCATGTTACTGCTTTGGAGGAACCACATTGCTATCCTGCTTTGACACGCGTGTTCAAATCACAACTGAGTCATAGAGTACAAAGGAGGAGCCGCGTAAGCGCACACAGGGTGAAATCCTGAAGTCAATGGGAGTTTTGCACTTGACCTAAATAGAGCCTGGATGTCCCCATACGGCATGGAAAGTATTCCTGCCCTAAAGTAGAAGCCTGAGATGAATTTCTGGTTTATGAAGTTTCATTGATCGAAATGATCTTTGGTGGTTTTACTCATCGTAGCATCATCTAGACCTCCTTGATGAGGGCAGATGCCCTTGTGGCTAAAGAACTGAACTGAGACTCAAACGATTTGGGTTCAGTACCTAACTCTCTCACACAGCCCCTGTGTGGCCTCGGGCAGTCTGTCTCAGTTGCTCGCCTGTAATACAGGGATTGCGATACTGCTCTGGTCTGTCTTGTCTAGTTAGAGGTGGGGTGGGTCAGATCCAACTCGCCATGCCTTTGGATCCTGCCTGCGGCCCGCTGGGAACCTCAGGCAGGTTTTCGGCCAATGGGAGCGGTGACAATTGTATTGAGGGCGGGACAAATGCGCAAAGATTCCGCCCCTCTCCCTGGGCGCATGGTGCAGAGAGGCACATGGCTCACGCAGCCAGCTGCTTTGAGCAGACTGGCAGCGGCAGCCCCACCTCCTCCCGTACCCCAACCCCCTGCCCCAGGCCACCACCCAAACCCTCTGCACCCCTCTACTCCCTGCCCCCAGTCACAATTCCTTCCCAGACCCTGCACCCTAATCCTCTGCCCCAGGTCATAACCCAACCCCCTGCACCTCCGCCTGCACCCCTATCCCAGATCACAACCCCTCCTTCAATCAAGATGCCTCTCAACCCCACATCCCCTCTTGCACCCCAGTCCCATGCCCCAAGCTCCCTTCTGCACCCAACCTCCCTCCAGAGAAAAGCATGGCCCTTGACCACTTACCAAAATCTTGCAGTGACCCCCATCAAAAATGATTGCCCACCCCTGATGTAGAGGTGGGCAATCATTTTTGATGGGGGTCACTGCATGTACAGGGCCCAACCCAGCGGGGGTCCTGATCTCCGCTGAGGCTACAGGGTGCTACCCTATTACAGACGATCAGCAGCCTGCTTGTGAGAGCATAGATAGCGCAGAACCATGTCTGCTTTGGGATGAAGCGCAAGGGAGATGAACTCTATTGTGCCTCTCCTGGAAAGGCCAAAGAACACCGCCCAGCCCTGGACACTCTCTCTGTTGCAGATGGCGCATCTCCAGGAGCTGACTGCGGGGCAGATGGCTCAGCTGACCCTGACGCAAGAGGTGTTCCTCTCCGTCACCAACATTGAACGCGTCTTTGACAGACTCGCGGAGATGCCAGGACCCAAGGGGCTGGCGGCCTATTGGGACGCGTTTAATATCGCCTACGAGGAGGTACCCATGGGGGCGCAGGTCTCTCTGTGGGGCTGTGCTGGGGGTTGGAAGCAACATGTCCAGTGGCGGACCAGCAGGATCGTAGACGCATGAAATTAAAAAGTGCAGTAGGGGAGCTCATGGCGTTCTGGGATGATGGGGGAGATTCAGCTATTGATCGTGAGAGCTGGGATTGGCCAAGGCTGCTCTAAGGCCATTCCAAGAAGTCCTGCCCCTTCCTACTTGAATGACAACTTGAGGAATCCCCAGCTAGCATGGGTGCTGGAACTAGAGGTGTAGGGGGGCTGCAGCACCCCCTGGTGTGAAGTAGTTTCTAGTATAGATTCAGTTCACACGTTGGTTCAATATCTCTCAGCACCCCCTGCCATGCACCCTGTTCCAGCACCCCGGCCACTCAACGTGCATAGGTCTGACTGTATGCACTTTCCAGGAGCTGTCGATTGACAGCAGCTGACGATTTGACCCTACTTGTCTTTGGCTCGGGCTGGTTTATTGTCTCTCACACCCAGCTGTTTCTGGGTGCTCCATTTCTAACCATTCGTGGAGGCCCCTGTCACCCCATTAGCAAATCGGGGCCTTTCCCCTCCTCCTCGGTAAACCTAATACCTTTCATCAGGCCACTGGAAGAAAGACAGAGTCTCAGACAGCGAGACTCAGGCTCACCAGGTCTCTGCCTCAGGTAAGCTCCGCATTGCGCAGACCTGGCTGCGGGTGGGGTGGGGGGACAGGGAGCAAAGAGATAGCTTTGTGAGCTCCTTCCCAGTCCCGTGAATGGACTAGCTTTGTACCAGAAGCCGATGTCTTTCGCTTTCGACTTCCCTGTGGAAAAGGAGAGAAGAAAGTGGAGAGAAAGCACATGGCATCAGCCGGTATCAAGCTAGTTTCTGACTAAAGAAATCACCTTTTGAAGGGTTCCTTTGGGGGCTTTTTACGTTTAAATGAAAAGAGAATCCCTTCTGGAACTCAGCCGGCCTCACCTTGTTTGTCGATATAGCAGAGATCCCGTAACACGGTCGTTCGCTCCTTCCAGGCCAAGGACGGAGCGCACACAACTCCCCTAAGAAGCATTAGGAGCTGGGGGCACTTCATAGCCTGGTCACTTTCAGTCTACCTTCGGGCCCGATCCTGCAAGGTGCTCGGGGCTTCCTGAGAGGCAGCTGATCCCCATGGGTTTGTCTACACCATACACTAATACCAGGATCTGACTCCGGTTTGAGCCCCCTTTCTGTCCACACACAAATGGGTCTAATGCAGGTCATCCAGGCTTCCCGAAGGAGCCTGCCAGGGAAGCAAGTCAGAGCCCGTGACTCAAGCCGAAGCCCTGTCACTTTGCAGCACAGCTGCAGGCAAGGCCCAGACCCAAGGCAGAAGGGCTGTGGAGTGCGCTATGGCTGCGTTAGGACGATGCCGTGTGGATGTTTGAGCACCGCCTTGGAAACACCAACACTGCAAGCCTGGGCCCCACAGTGTAGATCCACCCTGGGCCCCTGGGCAAGATGGGGATGGAGCCTGGCTCTGTGCTCCTAGAAGGGGCGGGGCCTCAGGTGGAAGGGGCGGGGTCAACGCTGCCTGGAGTTCAGCACTCCAGTGGCCATTTAAAGGGCTGGGGGCTCGGGGCCTCTTTGAATTACCCAGCCCTAGGGCACCTCCCTCCTCTGCCCCTCTGTCAGCAGCCCTGACCCGGTGAGAGCTGGAGCTAGGGCTAGGCACTATGCAGGCGGGGAGCCTCAATTTTCGTTTTCTAACCCAACACTCCCTGGAGGATTTTCTGGGTGGGATCAACCCGTCATAGCACAAACAACACCCCTGGATTTTTACCTGGCAAAGACCTTCCTGCAGAGAGCGATCAAACCAATGGCATGCCTTCCCCCACACCGCTTCTTGGGGTTCAATCGTAAAATAAGCATTGTTTTTTTATCAACATTTTACATTTCAATGAAAGAAAAATCCCTCCACACGATACTCTTGAGATTATCCCGTTTTTCCACCAGCTCTACCATCTGCTATGTCTGCCATCTTGGTTAGTGCCTGACTGATTTAGTGCCACTTGGGCAACACAATATCTAGAACAGAAACTCCCTTAGCATGGCTGACCCAAAACTACCAGTGATTTGTACAGGAAAAAGGTCCACCCTAAGTGAGCTTCAAGTGCCACATGCGTTACTAACCTCCCAGAGCACCACAGCATCTTTTGTTCGATGTTGCTTCAGAGCCACCCAATTTCAATGGCGATATTTTAAAGCAGGGTGAGTACAAGAGGTTTGGTTTCCCGATGGAGAGTGCATTTCAAAATGGCCATCTCAGGCTAATTCTGGCTTCTTGAGCCTGGGTGTCCAGAATAATCTCTAGAAACTTGATCTCGGACTTGAATATATTTAGCACAGTTCCAGGATAGGGGTAAGATGTCCAAGTGCCACCAACAGTTATAGAATCTGTGCCTCTAATCTTCTGTGACTTCTTTAGGAAACAGCTCTCCAAGAAGCATCAGCATTTAAGAAATCGAAATTGGATCTCTGAGCAACTTCCGCTTCTGAAACCATGTTTTCACTCCACGGAAGATCGACACTGCAGCGATCGATCTTCTGGAGTTTGATTTAGCGGGTCTAGTAAAGACCCACTAAGTTGAACTCAGAGGGCCCCCTTGTCAGCAGCCGATACTCCTGCTCCTGCCATCAGCCTTTGCTGCCATCAGCCTCCTGCTGTGGGGAGAAACTTGAATTAAGGCATGGCAACTTCAGTTAAGTAATTAATGTAGCTGGAGTTGTGTGTCTTAATTTGACCTTCCCCTTTAGTGTAGACCTTGCCTAAGAATAGGAAGTAGATGGCCAAGAGACTTTTTCATCTAAAAACAGAAACTGGACAAGAAAGGAATACTTGTATTTTTCAAATTCCCACACAGAGCTTAATGATTGTGTTTCCTGTCCCTTGTGTAGCCTCCTGTCCTCGTGCTCAATATCTCGATGGAAGTGAAGCACACCATGCTGGCTAGAACAATGGAGCAGCTGCGCATTGCACTCCCCACATTCACAGATGCTGAATATGACCTGTGGTTTAAGAAAAGACTCGTGGTGGTTCTGCCCAGCATGAAAGCTGATGTTCTTCACAACATCCCTATCAACGTGTCCTGCAGCGCCTACAAGTCTCTGTGAGTCATAGGCTCCTTTTTCACACCCTTTCATTTCTTGAGCCTAGAGTTTTGTAAGCAGACAACTTGGTGCTGTAGATTCTAGTAGTGGGTGAATCCCAAGAGGAGCCGATGGTGCCATAGTCACAAAACAAGACTGGGGCTACATAGAGACTGCAATCTTCTTTAGGAAGAAACTTTTCTGGAAGAGATCTTCCAGAAATTTTCTTTCGAAAGAGAGCATCTACACAGCAAAAGCGCAACGAAAAAGCGATGTGCTTTTTCGAAAGATAGCATCCACATTGATTGGATGCTATCACACATTTCAGTTGTGATTTGTCTGGATGGAGTGGCCACCAGGGCACCTGTGTTATCTCCTGGAGGCCTTTGCTTTTGAAAGAACTCCGTCTTCTCCGTCCACACACACCTTTTTCCGAAAAAGCTTTCTCGGAAAAAGGCTTCTTCCTCGTAGAATGAGGTTTACCGCCGTTGGAAAAACCCCTCCGTTCTTTTTATTTTTTGTCAAAAGAACTCAATGGCAGTGTGGATACAAGAATTTTTTTTCTGGAAAAATGCTGCAGTGTAGCCACACCCTGGGAGTCTTTTACTCCCAGCTGTAGCACAAACTTGACACGCACATGGACGGCTCATTTTGTCAGGAGATGATCCTGCAAGCAGCCACATTCTGATCTTAAATGGGTCCGAATTTCAGCTTGGTCCAGAGGTGTTTAGAAGCATGACTTTAGTTTGAACCTGCCTGCAGGGTGAAATACTGCCTCTGCTGAAGTCAATGGGACAGCTCCCATGGATTTCATACCTGGCTTTTTATTGTAATTGTGAAAGGCAGGCAGAGCAAGCCAGCACTGCAGTATTTCATTTCAACCAGAAAGGGATCTAGGGGCCATAGTGGACGAAGGATGTTAAAGACTAGTCGACTATCCGATAAGCATTTGCTTATTGGATAGTTTTTGATTAGTTGACGAGTCGATAGGCACTTCTGCATTCCTCCTTTGAAATGTACAAGAGCTCCCACTGGGGCTCTCGTACATTTCAAAGGAGGAATGTGGAACTCCGCGTATAGCCTGGGGCCAGCGGGAAATCCCGCTGACTCCGGGCTGCACACACACGGGTGCCTTCTTTGAAATGCACAAGAATCCCCAGCAGGGGCCTCTTGTGCATTTCAAAGTCATGGAGCCCAGAGTCAGCGGGAGGACTCACAGTCCCCTGCTGATCCCAGGCACCATGCTATGCTGCATGCCAATAGGAGCCTGGAGTCAGCTGGGGAGTCCCCAATTGATCCCGGGCTCCCTGCAGCTGCCCCTTTCAATCATGCAGATGCGTGGTTCAAAGGGACTGCCGCTGAACAGCTGATCCACGGAACACCCTCCATGCTACACTGCATGGTGCTAGGAGCTTGGGGTCAGCTGACCCTGGGCTTCTAGTGGCATGCAGCGTAGCATGGAGCCTGGGGTCAGCAGGGGACTGTGAGTCCCCCGCTGTTCCCGGGCTCCATGGCTTTGAAATGCACAAGAGGCCCCTGCTGGGTTCTCTTGTGCATTTCAGAGAAGGCACCCGCATGCAGCCCGGAGTCAGCGGGACTTCCCGCTGGCCCCGGGCTATACGCGGCATTCCGCATTCCTCCTTTGAAATGTACGAGAGCCCCAGTGGGAGCTCTTGTACATTTCAAAGGAGGAATGCGGAAGTGCCTCTTGACTAGTCGACTAGTCAATTAGCCACATTTTAACATCCTTATAGTGGACCACAAGCTAAACATAAGTCAACTGTTGTAAAAAAACCAAACATCATTCTCGGCTGCATTAACAGGAATGTTGTGAGCAAGACACGAGAAGTCATTCTTCTTGCTCTACTCTCTGGTGATTAGGCCTCAGTTGGAGTAGTGTGTCCAGTTCTGGGCACCGCATTTCAAGAAAGATGTGGAGAAATTAGAGAAGATCCGGAAAATGATTAAAGGTCAAGAAAACTTGAGCTATGGGGGACGACTGAAAGATTTGGGATTGTTTAGTTTACAAAAGAGAAGACTGAGAGGGGACATGAGAGCAGTTTCCAGTACCTTAAAGGGTGTTACAAGGGGGAGGGAAAAAAGGTATTCTCCTTGGTCTCTGATGACAGGACAAGAAGCAATGGACTTAAATTGCAGCAAGGAAGGTTGAGTTGGACGTTAGGAAAAACTTGGTGGTGAAACACTGGAATAAATTGCCTAGGAAGGTTGTGGAGTCTCCATCTCTGGAGATATTGAAGAGCAGGTTAGACAGACATCTATCGGGTGATTTAGATAGTTCTTGGTCCTGCCGTGAGGGCAGGGGACTGGACTCGATAACCTCCCGAGGTCCCTTCCAGTTCTAGTGTTCTAGGATTCTGTGAACCAGACTCGGTTGGCTCCAGAACCTCCTTGGCTCACTCACAGGGTTTTTTTATACTATAGAATTGCTGGGATCAACACCGGCTTCTCTGACGTTCCTGAGGATGGCAAGAGGGACGTGTATCACTACATCGTGTCTTTTCTAACACAGACATCTCAGGATACCGGTAAGGGCTCCCAAAGGAGCTATTTTTTCAGAGTTCCCTTCAGGCATGCGCTATCTGCCTGCGTTGTGCTTTTTACAACACTGCTAACATTTACCAAAACACACACTCCTGTTGGAAGGGCACCATCACCTCCAGACTGCTTGCTGGACAGGAAGGCCTCATGCATGTCTTCCGTTATGAGGCTCCCGAGAGCCCAACATAAGACTACAGCCTGGAGCACCATTTGGGAGTGATTTGGGAGCCCCCAGGTTGTGAAGCAAAAGGCTACGGGTGTTTGTGCTGAGCAGGTTTCTGGGGAGATGAGGCTAGCCATTATAAGCTCTACCTGTCAATCTACCAGGCCAGAAGGAAGTGCCTGGTTGAGGCTTTTAAGAGCACATAGCTTTCAGTTCCTTCCTCTCTCTGCCAAGTATGGGAAGAAAAAGGAAACTGAGCCAAGCTCCGACTCGTTTTCAACTCACATCACACGGCAGAAGAGCTGTCTCTGTGCAAACGCCACGCAGTGACTGGGCACAGCAGATGTGTCCAATTAGCAGAGCTCCGTGCTGGGGGGGCGTCTCACAGCGGAGAGCCGACACTGATGAGACTCGCGTCTGGATCCTTGTAGTCCGTGGAGAGCTGAGCGTTCACCAAGCGAGATTCCACTAGTGCTGAGGGCTGCCCGGGGGAGGCTAATCCTAGCTCCGCCCCTTCTATCTGATGCCTCGCCCCCAAGGAGCTGGCTTCCCTTCCTCTCCCCCTTGTCCAGGGGCCCAATGAGTCTGTCGGCTCCACTGCTGGTCTGCACAATTTGCAGCCTTCCCGCTCGCAGAATCAAACTCAAACCCGGTATCCCATGTAAAGCCTATTTAAATCAACGGCCTCACGTCTTTCCGTTGACTTCCCCGGCCAGGGATCAGGTCTCAGTGCCTAGAGTGGAGTTTTTAGTGGGCCGTCCTCATTCAAGCCAGTGACTGGTGATAGAGTCTCTCTCACTGTAACACGGGCAGCAATGAACGTGCCGATTAACACTGACTGTTCCATTCAACTCTCCCCGTCCGTGCCTTTTCCTGTATCCTCCATGCAGGGGCTGCCTGCTATCCCAGGGTGTCCGCTAGAGACTGGCTAGTCGAATACTTGGGGAAATTCTCCATGGAAGCATCTTACGCTCAGTTGGTCTCATTCTTCCCCCAGCCCTTGGATGCGGTAAGTCTTTTGGGGCGTGTCCGCCAGCCGCGTGTTTTCAGGGGAGGAGAGGCGACGGGTCTCCAAAATGAAAGCGTTGGGTTTGCATTAATACGCGTCCGTGTGGTTTGTCGTTTTCCAGTACGTGGTTCTGGACCTCCTGACCCCCGCTCAGATTGGGGACATGATGGTACAGTCGGACACACTGACCAGGATGGACCTAGCAGCCCGGCTCATTCAGTTCTTCCAACAGAGCACACCTGAGGATGCTCAGATGATTCTGAGGAAATTCACAGAGGCCGCGCTCAGGGTAGGCTTTCCTCAGGTCCTCTTTGAGATCGACTTGGCGGCAGCTGTTTCCCATCCCGACTTATGCGGGGGGAGGGGGGACATAGTTTTATCAGGCTTCCAAGATTCAGTTGGCAGCAAGTCCTTTCAATGACGAATGAAACGCAAAGCACAGAATATAATTCACTGTCATTTCGTATGGACATTGACGGAAGAGAAGAAAGGGAAATGAGTCCGGGCATGATAGGGACTAGGTAGTTCATACATCCTAGAGTTATAGAAAATTAGGGTTGGAAGGGACCTCAGGAGTCATCGAGTCCAGCCCCCTGCCCAAAGCAGGACCAACCCCGACTCCATCATCCCAGCAAGGACTTTGCCAAGCCAGGACTTAAACACCTCTAGGGATGGAGATTCCACAACCTCCCTAGGGAACCCATCCCAGTGCTGCACCCCCACCTCCTTCACGGCAGGACCAAGCACCATCCAGCTCATCCCTGACAGGTGTCTGTCCAACCTGCTCTTACATATCTCCAGAGATGGGGATTCCACAACCTCCACCTTGCCACTGGAATGCAGTGCCATGTAACTCTGAGATCTGGGGGGCACACCATGCTCTGGGTGATGCTGAGGGCTGGCTGTTCCAAGCCCCTCCCCTTCTCCCCAATGCTCCGCCTCTTCCAGGACCACGGAGTCACCGCCCCCACCTTGCCCAGGGGCGGCTGTCAGTTCCCCTGTCTGAGATCCGAGACCAGAGGGCTAACAAAGGTCCATTTACACGGCAGGTAGGGAAACCGCCTCCCGGTCCAAGCAGACAGACTCGTGCTCGCTCTGCTGGAGCTGTGGAAATGGACCCCTGGGTGGTGGCCCAGGCTAGCTGATCGAACAAGACCACTCAGTTCCCCAGGCTCTAGCCCAGGGCGCTAGCTCCGCCTTTGCTGCGACACCCACACGGCTACTTTTCATGGGCTAGCTCAGCCGAGTGGGGAAGGCAGCTCCCCAGAGCAGTGTAGACACCCCCAAAGAGCCCCTTCCCACCCAGCAGGTCTGTCAAGCACCGGGCCTTCTTCATTTCTTGCAGGAGAAAATCTCTGTCCTCCCAGATCAGGCTATTTCCCAGCTGCTCCTGCAGAACTACCTGGCCATGATGTCCAGGCAAATGGAGGCCTACACCGCCCCCGACTGGAACGCCACCTTCCAAAACCAGCTGCGCTTCCTGAGCCCCAGCTTCAGCAAAACATCACTCGCCCTCGTCATCCCACAGGACTATGACTCCTTAGTGGCAATGTAAGTCTTGCGTCGAGCTTTGATGGCCGGTCACTCTATCAGCAGGGCAGAAGTGCTTTCCTTTCATTCACCAAGGTAGCAGGATTAACACAAACCACAGGAAGTTTTTCCTCATGCAGCACACAGTCAACCTGTGGAACTCCTTGCCACAGGATCTGGTGAAGGCTAGGACTTGAACAGAGTTCAAAAAAGAGCTAGATACATTCATGGAGGATTGATCCATCAATGGCTATTAGCCAGGGTGGGTAGGAATGGTGTCCCTAGTATCTGTTTGTCAGAGACTGGGAATGGGTGACAGGGGAGGGATCACTTGATGGTTCCCTGTTTCTGTTCGTTCACTCCCTTGGGGGCACCTGGCATTGGCCACTGTTGGCAAATGGGACACTAGGCTAGATGGACCTTTGGTCTGACCCAGTGTGGCCGTTCTTATGTTCTTCTCCCCATCTTGTAAGTGAAGGCCAGTTGAGATCTTGATGTCATTAGTCAGGTCAGATATATGTAGGGCTGAAGAGGCGTAGAGCAACCGGTGGGGTGGAACTAAAGGTTTAGGATCCAGGTCTGGCCACAAAATCTGCCAAATCCAGATCAAACCAGTAGGTGAGGAAATGCACGTAGTGACATAGAACCATGCCATCGCTTTGCTGCCTACCGGGGAGCTGGCTGCCTCGCCAGGCCCTGGCAAGATCGGGGAGGTGGCTTTGCACTCCTAGAAGGGACAGGTTCTTGAGCAGAAGGGGCGGGGCTGGAGCAGTCAGCCCACAGCGCCACCTGGAGCATGTCCCATTCCCCCAGTCCTCTGAGCCACAAGGAACACGCTGCGCCGGATTCCAGCGGTGATTTAAAGGACCCGAGGCTCCGGCCACAATAGCTTTTGAATCGCTTTTGGTCCAAGATCCCAGGGCAGTGGCGTCCTGTGGGCGGGCCTGCCAGCATGCTAGGGGTGGCATGGTAGCTCTGAAGCAAGGGCGCAATGTAAGGGAACGTCTCGGGGTAAACACCCAAGCAAAGGAGCATAAGAACATAAGAATGGCCACAGTGGGTCAGACCAATGGTACATCCAGCCCAGTGTCCTGTCTGCCGACAGTGCAATGCCAGATGGCCCAGAGGGAGGGAACACAACAGGGAATCCTCACATCATCCCTTACCTGTCACCCACCTCTGGAGAAACAGAGGGTAGAGACACCATTCCTACCCATCTCGGCTAACAGCCATCGATGGACCTAACCTTTATGAATCTATCTAGCTCTTTTTTGAACCCTGTTAAAGTCCTAACCTTCACCGCATCCTCTGGCAAGGAGTTCCACAGGTTGACTGTGGAATAATATTCTGGAGAAGAGATTGGTCTTTCCTTACCCGAGACCCCAGCTCCATTAGATCCTATCTGGAGAGTTTGTTTGTCTGTCCGTGTCCTTCACCATGCTTGTTGCTCTTGTCCCCACAGCGTGGCTGGCTTGGAGGGAGCTCACCTGCACATGACTGAGTCCTCTAGGAGAGCTGTCGTACTCTGGATTGTGCAAAACCTCAAAGCCTTGAAAGGTAACGTGACGGGGTGGCCCTAGAATGCGGTGCGCGCTGCTAACACCCTCCGCTGTGAGAACCACGACTCGCCTGGTCGCGTTCTCCCTCCTCTAGGTCAGAACAACTGAGGCTAATGCATACCCTGTTAAAGTCCTAACCTTCACTGCATCCTCTGGCAAGGAGTTCCACAGGTGAAGCAGGAAGGGGAGCGGCTCTGTAAAAGGCGTCATCTTTCCAACAGTGTGTTAAGCCCAGGTTCTGCATGGTCCGCTGTGAGAACCACGACTCGCCTGGTCGCGTTCTCCCTCCTCTAGGTCAGAACAACTGAGGCTAATGCATACCCTGTTAAAGTCCTAACCTTCACTGCATCCTCTGGCAAGGAGTTCCACAGGTGAAGCAGGAAGGGGAGCGGCTCTGTAAAAGGCGTCATCTTTCCAACAGTGTGTTAAGCCCAGGTTCTGCATGGCCACCTCCCGCCCCTGCGAGGAGGAGGGAGCCGTCGGACCCTCCCACTCAGGGCACAGACGGTTCAGCCAGGGGAACGGACTCCCTAGGGCCAGCCTGGCCTTACCTGGGCATGTTCAAACTCCAGCCTCTGCCCTCTCAGCAGGGTCCAAGCACCATTCCCTAGTGCCAGCTGGTGCCTGTTCTTGAACCCGGTGACCCCTGACCCCGGCAGAGCATCAGCCTCACATTGCATCTAAGAAAATTAAATATCACTTAGTGACAATGCAAACACATACGGGCGCTCTATGGGGTCCTGTTCTGAAAGTTCGCCCGTCCTGCCGCCTGCTGCTTTCCTGTTAGGAATTGTGGCCTTATTTGTTGCACTCGGGTTTTGCTTAGAATACAGCCGGTCCCCAAGTTGCGAACAGTACAGTTACGACCATTCGCATTTACGTCCAAAGCGGGCATAAATGCGGTCCCCGAGTTACAAACGCGATCCGCGCTTACGAGCACTGTGGTCGCCATGTAACTCAATGGGGTCCGAGGGAACGGACTCCCTAGGGCCAGCCTGGCCTTACCTGGGCATGTTCAAACTCCAGCCTCTGCCCTCTCAGCAGGGTCCAAGCACCATTCCCTAGAGCCAGCTGGTGCCTGTTCTTGAACCCCTGGCCCCGGCAGAGCATCAGCCTCACATTGCATCTTAAGAAAATTAAATATCACCTAGTGACAATGCAAACACATACGGGCGCTCTATGGGGTCCTGTTCTGAAAGTTCGCCCGTCCTGCCGCCTGCTGCTTTCCTGTTAGGAATTGTGGCCTTATTTGTTGCACTCGGGTTTTGCTTAGAATACAGCAGGTCCCCAAGTTGCGAACGGTGCAGTTACGACCATTCGCATTTACGTCCAAAGCGGGCATAAATGCGGTCCCCGAGTTACAAACGCGATCCGCGCTTACGAGCACTGTGGTCGCCATGTAACTCAATGGGGTCCGAGTTACAAACACTTTGAGTTACGGCCACGTGTTTGGTCTGAAACTCGTTCATAACTCAGGGAGAGGCTGTATAAGTTGCTTAAGTTGCAACCTCCCGGTTCCCTCTACAACCCATGACAGCTATGGAATATCAATTATTATTATTATTATTATTATTAATCATAATAATAATCACAAAAATAATCCTAATAATTAGCAGCAGCATTTTTTTCCTTCAGCCCGCCAGGCACCGAGTTTTCCATTTCTCTGGGACAAATACGTTTTTTAAACAAAATGTGCATATGGGGATGGAAGAAACGGATAATTGCATGAAGGTCAATAGATCGTTTTTTTTCCTTTAGGGTACTCAGCGGAGTCCACCATGGAATGGATACAGGCCACCTGGAGGTCATTTTTCTTTGATGCAACCCTAGAAGAAGTGAAATCTACCAATGAACATTTTAACCCTGTATGTATGAGCTGCCTGATGTGTAACGGGGATTGATTGAAAAACTAACTGTACTGTAGAAAATCCCACAGAATTTGATCACAGCATCAGGGTCACATTCTTCTGTCAGGAGCAGTGATGTAAAACGGGAGTAACTCTGCTGATTTCATTGCACTTGCTCTAGATTTATGTGTGTGTGTGGAGGTGGGTGTGTGTGGGTAGAATCTGGCCAATATACGTTACCCTACTGGTAGCTATGTGTGAAGAACACAGCATACTGTGATGTCGCAGGGATTGTGTTGCTTTGTTGCGTTGTGCGTGATTCCTACTGTCCTAGGCACGGCATCGCTGTGTGGAGGAGGGGGAAACAAAAGACAGGACAATGTAGCACTTTAAAGACTAACAAGATGGTTTATTAGATGATGAGCTTTCGTGGGCCAGACCCGCTTCCTCAGATCAAATAGTGGAAGAAAATTGGCACGACCATATATACCAAAGGATACAATTTTAAAAAATGAACACATTTGAAAAGGACAAATCACATTTCAGGAGGGGGGGATGACCCATTGCAGGAGTGTATTTGGCCTCTTGCACCTGAGGGCCAGAGGATAGAAAATAACAACTGCTCTGGAAGGGAGACAAAGGGCAGGCAGAGCCGACTGCAAGCCGGGCACTAGGACCTGGGGGAAGGGTCAGTCTCGGCTATGAGAGAAGGGGCTTAGAGCAGAACAGGGCCCGGGAGCCCTTCTCCCCGAGAGGAATGATACTGGCTGCTCTTGGTCCCTGTGTTACACCGATCCTGTGCTACGCTGTGTCCCTTCTGCCGTGAGTCATCCCCCCTCCTCAGCCTTCCCCTCAGTGAGAGTCACACCTAACATTCCCATTCCCAGCCAGGCACCAGTGCAGTGCCCAGGGAAACTGAGGCGCACGTCCCCCCACCCCCACACACAGAGTTACAACAGACTAGCACAGGACAGTAGGAATCACCTACAACATAATGAAGTGAACTGAGCGAACACAATCCCCACTACGTCACACAGGCGTAGCTTTACGTTTTGAACCAAGTTTTCTGTGGCTGTGTTCGTACCCTCTGAGTCGTCCCCAGTCACAAATACCGCAACAAAGCAGTTGGCGGGCAGGTATGGTCGTCAGAACCGTACATTTTCGTGGCTTGGCAGATGGTTGGCAGAAATTTCAAAATTTGCAAGTAAGAGGAATCCCACTGGAAGCCTAACTAAGACTCATCTCTTAGGGTACGTCGACACAGCAGAGCTACAGTCGAATGAAGCTACGCCATGTCAGCTATGTCAATTGCGTAGCTGAAGCTGAAATGGCTTAATTCGGCTTTTGGCGCTGTCTAAACAGCAGGAAGTCGAAAGAGGAGCACTTTTCCCCCGACTTCCCTTACTCCTCGTATAATGAGGGTTACAGGAGTTGGAGTAAGAAGTCCTCCAGCTCGCCGTTATTTCGAAATAAAGGCTTGTAGCGTAGACATGCTCTTTGTTATTTCGGAATAATGTCAATTATTCCAAAATAACGCTGCTGTGTAGACCTGCCCTTAGACAACTGTGTGGCCTAGCTATTCAGTCAAAGCAGCTCCAATTTTGAACTGCAACCCATCAACTATTCAGAAGAGTATCCCCAGTGAATGGTTCGTGAGTTCTCTCAAAGCTGAAATGCAGCTTGCATAACAATCTGATGATTATGCTGAAAATTCTGAAACTTGCAATCCATTTACAGGCAATCTGAAAGGAGAATCAATTCAACAGATCATTTGCTGCAGATAGATCTAGTGGAGACAGATGATGCATTCCTCAGCTAATGGTTGGTGTTTGTGTTTCCTAGGCGGAATTTTTGGGTTTCCTGAGAGCTGACCAGCTGATGGAGTATGTGATGACTTCAGATGCATTATTTAATGTGACCACAATGATTCGGGTCCTGAGAAGTCTGGAGGGCAAAGATTCTGAAATAACACTGCCAAAGATGGATGAATTCCTGACGAAGTTCAATGGGGCTCTTATGCGGGTACGCAGGATTTCACCAAGAAGGAACCTTCCCCCCTCGTTCTTCCACGTCCTTCCCCTTTTCCGTGATGTCTCATGGGAATGATGCTCACTCTAGTGAGAAGGGCTGGTCACTTCTCCTTTTGAGCCCTTCACTGATGACCTCTTTGCATCATCCATGGGAGGTTGTCAGGGTGCAGTGCGATGTTCATTCCCCGGGCAAGTGTCCTGGAACGGCATCTGGCAAGGACTCGGCTGGGAAATCTTGGAATTTTCGGTCTAGGGGAGGGTGGTCCAGATTGCTTTGCAGTTGACCATCTTTCTGACCATCACATAAGACAGCGACCCCTTCCACTCTGCTTTGTTCCCAAGGGTCGCCCCAGGCTGGTGCACAGCTCACCCTTCTATCAGGAGTGAGTGGGAAGAAATTTGCCGACTTCTTGGGCCTCCATGTTCACATCATGTTATGACACCAGCCTCACTGCCGCTTGGGGTTCCTAGTTATGCCTTTTATCCCTTTCCAGCAGGATTTAGAACCGTTAACAACAACTCTCTGACTAGTTCCTAGTTATGCCTCGCCCTCTCCAGTGGTGACCCAGGAACATTCCTTATGTGACATAGACAGGAGACACTCCATCGCTAGCAGCAGAATTCCATTTGCCTCTCGCCTCTTCGCCATTCCCTCTGCTTCCCATGGTCCTCGGGGCGACAGCATGGGAATGGATCCCAGGAAGGAGCACTGGATTTAGATATGGCCAATAACACCGGCCGCAGACTTGGCAGAATAATTCTGCTTAATTGCAGAGAAAACTCTGAGAAGGGTGGTGGAAGAGGTGCCGGAGAGCAAAAGGAAACGAAGCAGGAATTTCAGCGAGAATAGAAATCTCCTGACAGGGAGAGCTCAGACTGGAAGAGCCTGCTTAAGGGGCTACAATCATTTACAGCTCGGCAGAAATACGCACTTAATACTCACCATAGGAAGCAATCCAGTTAGAGGGACTAATTGGTCTTTTCCACCTCCAATGCTGATGCTTAAGGGGTTTAGGCACCTAAAAATTAATGGAGATTGCCTAGCTCCTAGAGCTGGAAGGGACCTTGAAAGGTCATTGAGTCCAGTCCCTTGCCTTCACAGCAGGACCAAGTATCATTGCTGATTAATTTTTGCCCTAAATGGCCTCCACAAGGATTGAACTCACAACTCTGGGGTTAGCAGGCCAATGCTCAAACCACTGAGCTATTCCTCCCCCCACCTAGCTCACTTACACACCTTGCTTGTGAGTCTTTGTAAACAACCTGCACAGACATCGCCCGAAGCAAACTATATCCTCTTCTTTCTCAATGCGCATGCATAACCTGCATCTCCTCCCTACCCGCCACAGGCGAACCTCACGGGCGTGCACAATGCTGAAGTGAGACAAGAAATGCTCACAACGTTGTTTACCAGCCTCTCTAAACACTTTTACACGTTCATGGACCTGGATTATGAGGCCTGGTTTGTGGAGAGGCTAAAATTCCTCCTGCCTAGTATGAACGCAGACCTGCTGGAGTTAATACCGGCCGACGTCAGCTTCCCATCCTACACTGCCATGTAAGTATCGCCTGCATTGCTGAGTTCCAGGACAGGCTCCCCCATGGGAAAAATTCCAGTTCACCAGGACTTAGGGGGAAGTTGCATGCTGAAATCCAGGACTTACTTTCCAAGGGATAGCTGTGTTGGCATTACAAATAAATTGTAAAAAATTCTTCTACCTTTGGAATGAAAGAAAATTCAGGCTAGGGATGGAATAGTATAATCGAATAACCGATAAACCGATAAGCAAAAGTTTATAGGTTAATGCTATAGACTACACTTTACCAAAATGATTAGAGGGCTGGAGCATATGACCTACAAGGAGAGACTGAGGGAGTTGGATCTGTTTAGTCTGCAGAAGAGAAGAGTGAGGGGGGATTTTATAGCAGCCTTTAACTTCCTGAAGGGAGGTTCCAAAGAGGATGGAGAGAGGCTGTTCTCAGTGGGGGCAGATGGCAGAACAAGGAGCAATGGTCTCAAGTTGTGGCGGAAGAGGTCCAGATTGGATATTAGGAAAAACTATTTCCCTAGGAGGGTGGTGAAGCACTGGAATGGGTTCCCTAGGGAAGTAGTGGAGTCTCCATCCCTACCGGTGTTTATGTCTCAGCTTGACAAAGCCCTGGCTGGGTTGATTTAGTTGGGATTGGTCCTGCCTAGAGCAGGGGGCTGGACTTGGTGACCTTCTGAGGTCTCTTCCAGCTCTATGGTTCTATGATTCTATGATACATGCATTTCCTTCGCCGCCCTGCCCGGCTCCCTCCTGACTTGCAATGGGTCTGGGACCTACCTCACTGCAGCTCTGCATTTGAAGTGTATTAGGAGATACATGGGCAGGCAGCCCAGCTTATTTTTGACTCACGCCGGGTCCAGGAGCTCAGACATCCCCTAGACAGGGGCTGCTGCCACCCCATGCTACTGCCTCTGTATCAGAGGCAGCAGCACTGGGTGACAGACAGCTGGTCTGCAAGTGGAACTTGGCTCCTCAGGAGTGAGGCCGGAGCACACTTGCTGCCGGCCCAATTAACCGATATTTAACATCCCTGATTCAGGCTGCGATTTAAGGGATTTACATACTGCTGGCTGGCAGTATGGTAATATCTCGATATATATATATAATACGTGGGCGTGAGTCCACCGTGCTCTATCGGCAGATGCTTACGGCATTTGACTTCCCAGCACAAACTTATGCTGCAGCCGCTCTAAGCAGTCCTGTTTGACCCCATCATTCTCTTTTCCCCACCCGTTCTCTGCTCCGTGTTGGAGGACATTGGGTGTTCACCAAATGTGCCAGTGTTTATAAATCCCATAAATTCAGAATCCCTGCCTAATATTATTATTATTTATTTCATACTTGTGTTACTATTTGTATTCCAGTAGCACCTACAGTAGCAGAAACCCACATCAGGATTCTGTGTCCCGTGCCATATAGGAGGCCACGTTAAATGATCATTCATTGTTATATATCTCTATAGCAATATCACCGAGTATGTCTGTTTGTCTGTCTTTCTGCGAGTCTGTTTGTTCAATAACTCCTCCTAAATGGTAGGATCCAGGGCCAAATTCTGTAGGCAGCTTCCTCTTCTCCTAACTTAAAGTCAGATCAACCAGCACAACCGGCAGCCCTGGGGAAAGGACTGTTTTCCATAACATGCAAAGGGAGGGGCAGCTTTTGGAGAGATGTGATACTGAGAGTGGCCAGTGGGGGCAGCAAGGGGCTGTGCCATCTTGCTTGCCAGCACACTGGGTAAGTAGCCCCGTGCCACAAACCTTCTTCCCTCCCCCTTTTTGGCCTTTGGCCACAATGCCAGAGGAGGGGGAGAGAACAGGATGGGCTGGGGGGTGGCCTGGTGGAAGGAGAGAACATGCCCCGGACCCCAGCCTTCTGCACCCCCTCCCTGCATCCCCAAGACCCTGCCCTGAAGGACCCAGGCAATACTGGGTGAGTCTGCTAGTTAGTACAAATAATTGTCACAGTAGCACTTAGGCGCCTGAGCCGTGACCAGTTGTTCTATAGAACTACAATCATACAAGCAATAGACAGGCCTTGCCACAGATTCCTTACATGACAGTCCCTTCCAGCCTTGGAATAAATGTATGAGTTCATGAATCCGGCCCCATGGTTCAGTACATACAAATCATGGGAAGACTCAAAAAGTTTACAGTCTAACTGGCATCTAGGCTGCTACGAAGGCCCAGAGCCTGATTCTTAATCGGCCTGCATCCTGGGCAAACATCTCTTTTCCCCCCCACCCCCCGTGTGGATGTACAAGACTTTGATTGGCTGGTGGTTCATCTTTTGTGGCCTCGACCTCTGGAAGAATTGGTTCCAACTAAGGCACGACACCGTGTCGTTATTTTCCCCCTTTGCAAAGCCCCCGTGTCATTGCATACCTCAAATGTGGAGCGACGGTTTCTTGTCTCTTCATCCTTTGCAGCATCCGAAGCCTGGACAACCTCGTCCCACAGTTTTCACCACAGACTTCACACGGCATCTACAATTTCATCCAAAGAATCCTGGGCCATCAACTTAATGCTTCAGGTAGCAGACTGATACCCCGTGGCAACGGCCTGCAAATATCTCCTGTAGAAACATTGTGTGACAACCCCAAGCTCCCCCGCTGTTCTGCCGCTGGTTGGGGCCAGAAAGGAATTTCTCCTCCGGGCACAGGGCAGGGAACATGGCTGGAGCATTATGGTCACTAGGCTTTGCCCCGTATTTCTATGTTCATAATTCCAGAGTAGCTGGATGTATGGTCCCGTTCATAATGGCCGTACCCCGCCCAACACTCCCAGCAGATGCCCCCTCAGCCCTGCCCTTTACAGGTAACCCTTCCCTATCCTCAAACACAGCCCCAGCAGCCCCCAGAAGCACCACACGCATTCTGCAACCATCACCATCTCCTAGCAACCAACATTCTCCCGCCGGTTCTTCCTGTGAGCCACGTCCCACAATCCTCTGCTGCCCTTATCGCGGGTCACATGGGACAAGTGTTCCACCACGTTGCGGGTCACTGGCCAAAGAAAGGTGAGAGCCACGGCTGGATAAAGCTGTCTTCTCATTGTTCCTCCCTGTCTTTTCTTGCTTCCACGGTGCCTTCTCAGAGACGGTATTTCCTGGCACGTACAGCAACAGCCAAAGTTTCCTGCAGCTCATCTTCTACCGGTTCAGGCAGTTTGCTAACTACACCCAGCTCCTCACCTTTTACAAGGACTTTAATGGGGTAAGTGGATGGGCGTAGTGCGGTGTCCAGTAGAGGAGAATCTCCCTTTTCTACCTGATATCTGGAAAACTGGGACAGTTAAGGCACAAGCCAGCTATGGTGTAGTACTGCAAAAGAGAGTACCCTCTGGGGTCCTTATGCCGCCTTCTAAAGCATCAGAGAATGGGCTTCAAACTAGGGTCGTGAACAGGACTGGCCCAAGCCATTTGTGCGCCCCGGGAGCGCGGCCCCCCCGCCCCCGGGCGCATGCGCAGCCCCGCCCACAGGCACCTGGTGCATGCGTGGCCCCACCCACCCAGTCCGTCAGCCCCGCGCGGCGCCCCCTACAATGGGGCACCCTGGGCAGTAGCCCGGTCAGTCCGTAGCTTGGGCCAGCTCTGGTCGTGACCCAGGACTGGGTGGCGGGATGTCGGGCGCTGGGTCTCGGTGTTGCAGGGGGGTCAGGTGACCAGTGTGGGGGCTAAGGCAGCTCCTTGCCAGGCCTGGTGGCACCACCCAGTCCGTCAGCCCCGCGCGGCGCCCCCTACAATGGGGCACCCTGGGCAGTAGCCCGGTCAGTCCGTAGCTTGGGCCAGCTCTGGTCGTGACCCAGGACTGGGTGGCGGGATGTCGGGCGCTGGGTCTCGGTGTTGCAGGGGGGTCAGGTGACCAGTGTGGGGGCTAAGGCAGCTCCTTGCCAGGCCTGGTGGCACAGGCTGCGCTGCGCCCCAGAAGCG